GTCAAATCAGGTTAACCGTCTGGTTCAAAACCCTCCAATGCCTCCCCATTTTTCTCCCCATTCCTTGTGACTGGATCATGAAGGGTGAGGCAGGATGAAGTAGAAGACATCAAAGTGCCATGAAGAGGCTGGTGGGTGTAAGGGAATTTAGGGCCTTGTCAAATAAGGAGAAAGCTTAGCAAATAAGTGAAGCATTATATACGACCACCTGAGGAACAGTTCATTAAGATATCAAGGGCAAACATAAAGGCAGGTACATACATACACAGAACTGCTCTTAAAAATTAGACATTCCTTTTTCCCATAGATATTTTGAGGAACCCATATTCTTTTTGACTAATTCAGTCAGTAATCATCCTACCTGGATTTGAATCCTTCCTCAAATAAATGCCTACCAGCCCCGGGATCTTAGACAAATTGCTTACCTTCCTTGCCTATAAAATGGGGACAAAAACAGAACCTCCCCCACAGACTTGTCATGAGGAGGAAGAGAGGGGACATGTAAAGGTTTAGCACAGTGCTTGTGTCACATAAATGTGAGTGCAGTGAGTATTAGCTATTGATGATATTATGACCGCTCTTTTGATACCTTGTTTGGTATCCAAGCTGCATTTGATAGATGCTTCTTACACCTCAGCTGAGAGTAATCCCCATGCCTCAAGGCTCCTTATTACAGATCTTGATCATCTTTTCCTATTCTTTTCATTTTATCCAGTTTAATCTACCTATCTGCTGATGCCTCCCTAATGTTTACTTCCTTTCCTAATCCTTTATCTTGTAAATGATACCTTTGAAAAATCTCTAACTGGGTATCTCCTTTCAAATATAACTTGCTCACCCACCAGACTGCAAGAACAGGGCCATGACTAAATGTGTTCCTCTATACAGGGCCTGGCACAGAGTAAGTACTCAACAAATATCTATTGAATGAATGAAAAGGTCTTTCTCTTTCTTTTTCGGTCAATACAAATTTAGTGTGTCTCTTTCATGGGGCGTAGTGCTTGAACTATTTTATATACAATTGCATTAATAAATTAATTGTGCTATTCCTTAATTATTTCAAGTGTATTAGGTAGATAGCTAATCTAGGCGACCAAAGGTAAAAGATGGGAAAGAGGAGTGATTTGCTAAAACTTTTGATTTGCCCCTATTTGGAGATTGGGGTGCATTTTTAGAATGACTAATCTTTGGCATTAGCAAACTATTGATAACTGGTGATAAATTATTGGCAAATCCCTGGTAGTTACTAAACAATTTTGTTAACTAGAGGCAGCCAGAGATAACAGAAAATATGTGGTAACTTTAGTGAATCCTCATATCCCAGGAGGAAATGTGGAATGTACCTTACAAGTTAAAAGGGAATTATGAAGCAGAAAAGGACATGAGTACCCAGCAACCAGAAACAAATTCTAAGCAGTGATAAGTGAACTAATTCTATGATCTACATGGATGTTTGTCTCCTTTGAAAGAAGAGGCAGTAACAACTCGAAGCCAGCATGGGCTTATTAAGGAAAATTATGTCAGAGGAACATTATTTCCTTTTTGACAGGGTGTACAGCTGGATACATTAGGAGAAAGAATTCCTTGGCATAGGATATTTGGCCTTTCACAGGGCATTTCATTATATGCTTGTGAAAGATGGTGAAATACAGGTATAGGCCATGCAATAACATGAATGGGTGAAGATATAGATGGTTGAACACACATCCCAAAAGGGTAGTTAATAACAAGTGTATTTCAATATACATAGTTCTTTTCAGTGATGTGCCTCAAGGATCTGTATTTAGCTTTGTTTTCTCATCATTTTTCTCTATTACTTCTACGAATGGACAGAAAATGTATATAAAATGTGAATAAAATAAGCCCAAGTAGGCCAGTAGATATGATGGATGAAAGAAACAGATATTTACTAGAGTGTACTCAAAAGTGTTTTATACTGCAGTCATGGGTTTAGACATCCATCTCTTCAGTAGAATTGAGACAAACTGTCTGAATTTTCTTGTGTCCCTAACATTTCACAATGTCTAGCATACAGTGGTGCTTAAATGTTGCTTGAATCTTGAGAAGTCTGAAGGATAGGTCAAACTCAGTAAGGTTTACGGATGTCAGTGGAATTACTGGTAAAATGTGGTTGTCAAAATAGCTAATGTGAGCGTAGATATTAAAATTATAATAGCATCTAGAAGTAGAGAGGTGGTCTTCCTGTGTTACTCTGCAGCTATTAAAACACATTGTGTCACTGTGCTTACTTCTGGGGATGCCTAAACAAACTAGAAAAGGTTCGGAGAAAAGCAACTATTGAATATGCTCAAAGCTATTACCTTGAAAAATGACTAAAAAAAATGACAATTCAAAAATGATATAATGGTTGCTTTCAGATATAAGTTAGGCTCAATTTGGTAAAAGAAAGTAAATTTATTCTTTTTATTGCAAAGTATTAGATCTGGGCCAGTGGGTAAAATGAAAGGAAACTTATTTGGATCAATGTCTAGCATATGCTCCTCTAGAAAATAAAAATGGCTTTGTATAACTAAAGATCTACCCAATAGACTAGGTGAAAATTGGCAGAAAGTGTAGGTAAGCTTATTAACATAATTTAGGAGGTTTAATTACATAATCTTTATGATGACATCAAAATCTAAGATTCTAATATTCACTGATTTTGTCTTTGAGTCCCCAATTTATTATGAAATTGAAGGCGTGTGCTGCTACACATACAGTAGATACTTATAAATGTGTTTAAGTGTATTAAAAATAAAAGGACTTTGTTCAGTAAGAAAACACATAAATATATTTAAACTGTAGAAGTTCAGAAGAGCTATTCTATTATTTGTGTTCAGACAGAAGAAAAAGTTTTACTTCTCTAAGCACTATCTGCATTTACCAGGAAAAGAAATTTATGAAATAAGCAAAAATACATTGTAAAACCTTGGTTCTAAAACAAACAAACTGAGCGTGGTGGCTCATGCCTGTAATCCCAGCACTTTGGGAGGCCAGGAATTTAAGACTGGCCTGGTCTGCATAGCGAGATCTCTTCTCTACAGAAAATAAGAAAAATTAGCTGGGCACAGTGGCACATGTCTGTAGTCCCAGCTACTCGGGAGGCTGAGGCAAGAAGATTACTGGGGCCCAGGAGTTCAAGGTTACAGTAAGCTGTGATTGTACCATTATACTCCAGCCTGGGCAACAGAGCAAGA